AATTTTTTACTTTTGACCCCCCAAAGTACCAATTAGATTCACTTTCTGATCGAACGAGGTGCTGAAGTCGAAAATCGAAGCATTTTTACTGCCCCAAAACGTGATGACAGACACAAAAAAAACACACATCATGGTAAAATCAATACATTCATCGCTCCGCTCAGAATCTAAAAAAACATTTTCAAAAATTATAGTTACGTAAAGATTTTTCAGTTTATTATTGATTACTTTTTACTATTACTGAGAGAGTAGGTTGGTAGTTGGAATATTTTTGATAAATACCAACTATAGAATATGTAACATTTTTTATTACATATTTTAAGAAACCATATTTAATGTTGAAAATCAATGTTTATTTTAAGGTTTAAAATACATATAGGTAAATAAAAAAAAAACCACACGTCACATCAGTTATACATTCTTAACCAAACCTAAAATTTAAGTATCACTCGTGGTCTAATATATCATATTATATTATGTTATGATTTTCAATATGGAATCTTAGAAAGTTCGTTAAAAATATAAAACATTTTACTGGAGGTTATAAAACATCTATAAATGTCTACAATTGTCTACTTAACATTAAATTATATTATCTACAATTAATCTAATAGACATATATAATTATTGACAGTTTTAAACTGTTAGCAGGTAGCAAGGTAATATAGGTAACTTTCAGTCTGTCTATCATCAATCCCGAATCCCTCAGACCGTGAAAAGAATGCTGTTTCCCTTATCTTTAATCTGTAAACATTTGTACAAGTAGTGGGTGTATATTTTATTATTATTTTTATTACTATTATTATGATGTACGGAATGATCGAGTCAGTTATTGGGTTTTTAAAAATGTTCTCATAAAATATTTGTGTAATATGTACATTTTTATAAAAATCATTTTCTATCAATGGGCTTTTCAAATTTTAAATTACAATCTATGCCTTCTTAATTTTATAATCAGTAGAATAGTAGAATACGTTTCCAAGCATGTTTATGTATAAATATCAAACGTTGAATAATAAAATATCTTTTTTTTATTAATAATTAGCAATTAAATTGATTGTACGAATGGGAAAAGGTCAAGGGATATCATCAAAAGTTGTGATTAACAACTCCACTCATCTGATCTTAAAAAGTGAAAATATAATTTTACCGATCAAAAACTGTTTGTTTGTTATCAAATATTAATAGGTATATACTATATACGTCTACGTCTGTAGAAGCATTTTGCTTCCAATCGTGAAATTAGGTAACTATTGTTGACAAATAAACAAAAACCTATAAGATAGGTACAATATGAAGAAAAAAATAGTAACAGAAAAATAAACTAGTACATCTCTATCTAAAACCATATAAATACGAGTACGTTTTTCACTAGAATAACACAAAAGTTTATTTGAAAAATCATTTCAGGAACTATCGCAGTTAAATGGATCACCCTGTATATGGCGCATCATAGRAACACATAAATATTATACGTTTATGTATAATATATACATATATAGGTGTAGACAATGGGCCACAGTTGTGTCTGGCTAGTTTGTAGGTCAGTAGATTGAGAGTGTACGCGCGCGCCAGCGTGTGTTTCGATTAACAGTTATCTTGTCTTGTATTGTGCCCACAAAAAACCCGTACCCATAAAGGTAGTGGAAAAACAAGTTTTTTTAATGTATGCGCCAATGTTCAGCTTGCATTGTGTGTGCATGGTTGTATGTTGAACGTGATTTTATTTTGCCTCCGAGAAAAATAAAAACGTAAGACGATTGTCGTTCTACTTAGGTGTTCGATTGTCACTGCAGCTGTTATACATTAAAATTTAAAATATTAACCCACCTATCCATCATCGTAGTCCATCATGAATTAAATATTACAATAACATAATGCACATAGGCACGCTTTGCATTCGCGACTAGGTATTTTTTTTTGTAATTTATTTATTAATCATTACTGTTCGTTCCAATTTTAAATAAGATGACGTTTTCACGTAAAATACATCTATAAACAGTACGTTCAAAAACCTTAGACCAATATTATAATACATTATGATCTCAGTACAAACTTCATTAAGTCAACATTTTCCCTCAACTAACGAATCGAGTGGGTCAAAAATGATTACATGATTAAAAGCAGCGACTTGAGAAAATAATGGATAGGTAAACAATTATTACGAGTTAATTAAATGAAAACAGTAGAAAAATATTCCTATAGACTTAAGTGAGTAAAAGAATATGCCTTCTGTGTTCTGTGACTAATATTATTGTATATATAGGTTAGGATCGTCGAAAAGTACCTATATTCGAGAAAAATATAATATACGTTTATTATAACAGTAATGACTATTCCTAACTGTAAACATAGTTTGTTCGTACCTCCTAAAGACTATTATTCACTTCATTATCATACGAGTTAAACTAAAGAAAGTGTCGTCAGGGCATCAGTCATGGCTTTCTTGAAAAGTTATATTATACTCGAATGTCATTTAAAACAATCGTGACCTTCAAGTTTTCTCGACTGGGTATACAGAAATTATTAAGATACAATGTATTTGATTTCTAATATCGTGAACGTTGAAAAATAAAATGATATAATAGGTATATTATTATAACACATTTTTCAAATCATATATTATATATTTGAACTTGCAGCTACTGAAGTAGATATACATGTATAGAAGTACCGAGTAATATATTGAATCCTGTAACTCTATAAGACTTGATTTTGAAACAATGTTAAAGATAGTTAGGTATAAAATAAATAGTTTTACCCTGAGTTGAAAACGCAGTTTTTAAATTTATAAGTGTATAATTAACTGTTGAAATCACTAAGCAAATAAGTTTCAGCTCTTCATTAGTTTAAAAATATTTGTAAATATTATTTATTCAAAATTTCAATAGTCAAAAATTATAGACACGCATGCTATTTTCTTATATATCTGAAGTACCTAGTAGTATATATACGTTAACGCGCAGTTTCAAATGGTATAAGCAGAATTAAACATATAATTATCATAACATTTTTCGTTTTCTATAGTACTTATCTGTAGAAGATTTTGACCAAGGTTAACAACCTTTTACGTCTGATGATCTAATTGCAGCGCAATTTTAAAACTCGAATTTCAGTAGGTATATAATAATTATGTCTCGTATACCTATGTACTTTGATTTTTGTAAGTAAATTAAAATTAAGTAATGATTGCTTTGTTAATGTATTCATTTTATTTGTATAATATTTAACTTTTTACAGCATAAAGCATGAAAGTACTATCTATAAATGGTACCTATATGGCTATGCAGTATTGTTTTTTAGTCGACATCTTCACTTCCTATTAACTAATGTATGATGTTATAGTTATTTCAAATTTTTTAGTGTTTGATTTTTAAAAAATTGAAATGTACCTTTATTATAAATTATAATTACCCGTATACTCGTATACACTATACACTATACACTATACAGTGTATTATTATTGTGTTGATTTATGTTATATAATTCTATAATAAATAAATAATCTAGGTAAAATAGTTATTAAAATTTTAACTCTTACCTGTAAGAGCAGTTTGTGTATCCCATGAAGGATACGATTTCACTAAATTCTGGCTGATGATCAATCCAATTATGGAAATCTTAAGTAATAATGTTTTATCTAGTGAAGACTTCATTGCTGAACAAATGCCATGTCTCTTCATTCTAAATATAAAAATAAACTTTTTATTAACAATATTTTGAATTATCAGTATAGAATAGGTACAATAATATTATAAACATCAATATAGAATTTCTAATACTATAGTATTACGATTAGTTTTAAATGCGTGCCAATCGATAGGCTCAATTACAAAATAGTATGATTAATCCATTGACGTTAAGTCAATTTTGAATTAAGTCAAATTATTTTAATGTCCATTATTAATAGTTAAATTTTTGAGATGTTCATTGTTCAATATTAAGATCCATATTTTAAACACTATACATTTTATAAATCTACTAACACATGTTTTATTTGTTTTTTATAATAATTATTTAGAAATTATTTTCTCTAAAAATATTACAATTATTTCAATTAAAACTTTTAAACAAGATGGGAAATGTTTATAACACAATATGACGGCATAGAATGTATAATCTCCATTAAAACAGTTAAAATATAAATAAATTTATTAAAAATTTGAAAAATATTATACCTCTGTATTATACTTCTATATTCAATATTAAACCAATCTATACATTATATTAATTTTAAGCTATGGAAAATACAATAGATACACCAAATTTAAATCACTCCTTATATTTTATCAAAAAATACATCCACGGCATTCCGTATAAAAACTGATACAAACTTGCACTTATTTAATTGTTTTCATTGAATTTCTATTTTTATAAGATTTTGGAAATGTGATTATGTGTATATGTTTTTGCCTATAAAAAGTTATTCATGACCTACGAGTAATAAACTTTGAAAACTACAGGAAAATATATATGTATATAATAATACTCTAAGGTATATATTATTATACTTATTATATTTATTATATTTATATCCTTTGATGAAAAAAACGTTGTTTATGGTTGAGACATTTCTATACCATGAAAATATTTTGAAGAGCACAGTGTGTCACGTTTAAAAAAGGTTGATAACCACTGATTTAAATAAATGTTTAGTACCAATATATTATATATTAACATATTATGATTGAAATAAAAAAACTGTATCAACTTCATCTACAACAATTAACGGAGACTTACGTGACGTTTAAATATATAATACGATGTGTTGATCTACTTCTACATATATTATTTATTAACAAGTTATACCTAACTTATAACATAGGTATTATAGTTATTACTGTTATTAGAAAATACTGAATAGACAGGATCAAAATTTATTCGAATAAATGTAAAAAAAATCGAAAATTGCAATGTATAGACACTGGTGGTGGCAAGGGCAGGTACGTGCAGACCATTGCGCTGAAAAATCTTTTACCACGGTTAGGTTAAGTTAGGTCCTCGGGTGCACCCTACAATTTTGCGAAAGTTGAAAATATTATTATTTGCTTCAAAATCTAATTGTTATTAAAATATAAATTTATCGTTGTTTTTATTATTATGTCAATAATTTTACTAGTTTTCTCATAAATAACTATATATATAAAACGAAATTATTAATCGCTTAATACCTATAAAAAATGTGTTCTAAAAGAACATTAAATGATTCATTTAGCGAGAACCGTCAAAGCGGAAAAGCAAACAATATTATATATTGGACTTCAGTAAAATTACGTGCCACAAATTGACCCTACCGGATATAAAATTCTGTCGCCACACCACTGTAGTATAGAATCTTATTTGATATTGTAATTGTAATAATCGTACACATAGATATTATAACATCAAATAATTTTTTATACATAAGTATACAATACGCATGTATTCGCATAAATATGTATGTGCTTAAAGTATATAGGACAGTGGTTTTTAATTTATATGACCATTGTGCCCAATTTTATAACTCATCAAGAATGAAACACACCCCTTGTATAATGTATATACTTAATTGTATTGATGCGTTCATAATTCTATATACGATTAGTTTATAAATAGGTAGGTAGTAGGTTCCCACGTGTTTATATTATGCGATTGTATCTGAACGAGAATTGATAGCACTAAAAACACCACTGAAATAAACACTACTTATAAAAAAAAACTTAAAAAATATGTTTTAAAATCGTAAAATGTCGTTAACAAAATGTGTTCTTGTATTAATAAAATATAAAAACTATTAGAAAAAAAAAACAAAAATGAATTATCGATTGAATTCAAGGAAGTGTTGATATATTTTTTTTTATCCATTCACACAACTTTTTTTCTACTAAGAATTTTCATTCAAATTCCGATATTAATGAAAACATATTAGTAAAATAGCACTAAATATTAAAATAATTTAAAACTATAATATAAAATATAAAATTTAATACTTCAAATCTTTCAGGCATAGAACAAATGACTTGCAGCTTGCTTCTATAATCTATTTTATCTGAATTTTATAATAATCACTATAAGTAAATTCTATAGAAACCAAGCCCTGAGCATAAGTACCTATTATAATGTATAAATTGTATAACAAAATATAACGCGATTCGGTCTATAATGCATAAGCTTCTTATATGTATAGTTATATCTAGACAAATGTACTTATAAATTGTAATATAACTGTGAAAACTATTAGGCTTCAATGTATAGAAACAATATATATATTTAAATCTCACATTCTTTTAATGACTTTTTCACTCATTACTAAATAAACGATTTTATTAAATTTGTATTTATCTTTATTTATTTATAAAATAACAAATGTAATATTTAGTTACAAGTTAAAGTACTATTTTTTGTACTTATTTTCGAATTGCAAAAAGTTACAAAAACGATTGAACCATAAACAAAGACAATATTATGTATTTGATATCACTAAACTACTTATTTTATTTTATAACATTATATTATTTTATATTTTTATCTGATAATTAATATATTACGGTACATATTTGTAACCACATCACAAGAATAACGTCAATGTTTTGGAATATGCGGCAAAGTAGACTTAAAAATCATTGACGACCATATAAATACCTACCTACCTATAATAAAATGCATATAATACTGCAGCTGAACGATTTTGGTTACACTAAAATAAGTTATTCAAATTAATGGAATCGTGTTTGAATTTGAAATATGATATAGGTGGTAGGTACTTTTATTGTATTCAAGACTATAGAATGAAATTATAGTGTATAGAATTGTATTATGATGGAAAATKCAAATTAACTAAGGGTGAAGTGTCACTGTATTTATACCATAATAATTGACTTGGTTAAAAACATGGAACTTATATACAATATATACTTTTTTAGACGAACCCGACGATTCATTTCTGAGAAATATAGCGTCATAGATGCGAAAAAAATCTAGCGGAAAATCAATTGCATCCTTGATCTTTTTCAATTAGAATTCAAATCATGCGTAAAATGTAAGTCTTTATAAAATATAAATCTTTATTCTTGAACAAAGTATTTGGAAATAGAACGGTGATTTTTTTTTTTTATTCAAACACGATTTACTCTTATACGATGGAAAATTCCTACTTCGGGTTTTGGTTACACGCGCGATAGTACTTACGAGTACTTAAAACGTTATAGCAATTATTATTATACTCTAAAAATATATAGTTTTGGTACGAATCTATTTAAATAATAAATTTAAAATCTCCTATATTTTACATTTGCTAAAATATATTTAATATAATTATACATTCTCCAAATGTATTATAGTTGCAATAGAATTTTCAATTGTATTTTAATTTATTATAACGCCTACATATTCATAGGTCACAGTAGAAAAATAGTAACCGATGAGCTTTTAACTCTCATGTCTCATTCGAAAGAATATTCTTTGTAGTTTGTGTTTGCAATAATGACAATATTTTTTAGCACACATTTTTAGTAATACTAGGAAGGTACATTATGAATTAATTAAAAATATAATAATAAGATAAAACGCTGAAACAAAAAAAACCAGTKTGTGTGTTACCAGTACGCGCGCGGGAAGTTAAACTTCTTTTGAACGGTACACGTGAGTGAGTGAAAAAGAAATAAAGGCATGGATAGACTGGGGTAATGAGGATAATAAAGAAAGAAAAGAAACAATGTAAATTATATTTTTAATTTTTTATGCTAATGATTGAACGACCGTCGACCGAAAGGATTGGCGAGCAACGACGACGGCGAATCGGCACACCTAGTTCGAACTCGAGATTATTATTTCGGTAATATTATATTGTAAATTATAATCATTAGGTAAAATAAAAATACCTACCATTTTTACTAAATCCAGTCGTACGTAGTACATCCAAAATCCAAGTAACCATTAAAATTTAAAATATTAAAATAGGAACTACTTATTACTTAATAACAATATTATTATATTAACAATGGCTAAAAGCACACGACTGAATACGTGCATAACTTAACCACCACGGGAACGCGGGCCGCTGCCGCCAGTTAGATCAGAAGAATTCTTCTATTATCTATGGTCGAAACCGCATCGGCTGTCACCGACCAACATTATAATTTATAATTAATACGTAATATTATTATTATGTCATATTATAATATACATGACGTACTGATACGCTTCGCACCGCCGCCCCGAGGACCGTATGAAATCATCCCGGACGATCATTCCGTTTTTATCTAAATATTTATCTCATTAATATTATTGTTGAATGTTGAGTATTCTTTGTTTAATAACCCAACCAAAAATACTGTCGCTTAATGACACAACCCATAGCCGTTTACAAAATACAGCTACGACAATCCGCGGCTGCGCACAAGGACATGTCCGTGTTCGCGTTCGTACGCCGCCCGTTCGCTTTTTTTTCCTCACTACCCTACGTAAAGAAGTATAACTTCAATAATAACAAAATAGTTTTTAAAATAAATTAGAAATTTACTACACACAATATGTCGTCGGTATAGACAACATGACCCATATATACATATATATATATATATATATATATATATATATATATAAAACCATGTTTTTATAATTTCCATTAAGTGACTGAATTTAAATTATGTACGACTTATCGCTATCATAGCCGTCACGGTATGGATGATGTTTGTACATAATAT